TATTGAGACAATACTCTTTTGCACTCTGTACTATGAACGAGAAAAACCAAGATTTTAACATACAAAGTTTGCCTTATTTAAGCAGTTACTTGTACTATACTGGCTCTCCCATAAGATTAAACCCTCTATGACTTTTGTCTTTAGTGCACACTGCACAGTACAAGTATACGGGAACATATTTAATGCATCTCAGATTCAGCTCATTCAGGAAGTTGGCAAAGTTACGTAACATACAGTAAACGACTAATACTCACTTTGAAGAGTTCATTTCATAGTTCTTTCCGCCAGCTTTCTTGTTCTGATGCCTCTTGCATCGGCAGAACATGAAGAGTAAGCCAACAAACAGGATAAACACCACACAAGAAACAACGATGGCTATGAGTGTAGGTGTTGGAAGAATATGGGCTTCCCTGATGAGGGATGGTCCAACTAGAAAAAGAAACAAACATCATCATAGAATATTATTCAATGAAAACATAGTGCAAAGCATTGGATAAAAATAACAACAATAATAGGATACATACTCTCGGCCTCAGTGTAATCTCCGCATGTGTCTGCGTTCGCACGCAAGCAGAATCTGACTCGCACGCGGGGTTCAGTTTGAGTGATCTGCTGATGGTCTGGGTCCACCTCATCTTCAGGAAGCTCACTGCCGAAGTAGCTTTCATCCCCCAAAGACCTGCCGGATGATCGATAACCTCCCTCCTGGAAACACACGACACTGTTAGCCCTGGGCGGCAGGAGAAGCATCAGAGGAGAAGCACCGCCTGAATAGCGCGACACTTACCGGGTGCTGCTTGCTGCCAGCCAGCGACGGGATGATGACCTCCTTGCGAGTGGCCGCCGCACCAGAAGCCTGGATGTGGAAGGACTCGACGTGGTGCCACTCCTCCATCTCGCGCCCGGTGCCCACCTCCTGCACGATGCCGAGCGAGGCCTCCACCTGCGCGTCGAGCGTCAGGCAGGTGGCCGCCACGTACACGGAGAGCGAGTGCGAGTCCGTGTCGTAGGTGGCGCGCTGAGGCGCGGGGATGCGGTCGACCTTGGTGAGCGCGGGCACCGGCTCCGAGTAGTTGCTGTGGCCCTTGGTGTTGTAGGCCTTCACCTTGAACACGTAGCTGGCGTGCTGCTGCAGGGACGTCACGTTGCAGGGGTTGTTCTTCTGGCAGTCGAACTCCTGCCAGCCGCCGGCCTCGCCCGTGCCCTCCGGCGCCGTCACCAGCAGGTCCGCGTTGACGCTGGGCGGCGCGGCCGAGTAGCAGTCGCTCGCCAGCTCGTCGCCGTCCGTGGGGTTGCCGTTGCCGCCAGCCACGCGCCGGTACGAGACGAAGTACTTGGTGTTCTGCACGCCGCCGTCGAAGCCCGCCTCCCACAAGAGGGTCACGAAGTTGTGGCCCACGGCCGTGGCCTTGACGGCCTGGGGGTGTTCCGGTGGGCCCTTGGGCTGCAGCTTGATGGTCTCGCGCTTGGTGCCCAGGCCGTTGTTGGCGCGGCAGGTGTACTCGCCGTAGTCCACGTCGCGGATGTTGGACACCTTGAGCACGCTGGTGTACACGTCGCCGTTCTCGCTGGTGGTGCTGATGTCGTAGTGGCCGTCGCTGCTGCTCAGAAGGGCGGCCGCGTTGCTGCCGTAGCTCCACTGGAACTCGGGGCGCGGGTACGCCTGCACGCGGCACACCACCTGGGCGTCCTCGCGGAGGTCGTAGGCCACCTTGTTGTAGCGGTTCAGGATGATAGGCTCGTCTGGAAGGAGAGAAGTCACGTGAGTCACTGCCGCTAGGGACACGCGCCGGGGAGTCTGCGCATAAGGCCACGTGCTGTGCTACTTACGTTCAATGCGCAGGTGCATGGTGGTCTCGGCGCGCTTCACCTCGTTCTCGAAGACGCACGTGTACATGCCGCGGTCGCTGGGCTCGAGCTGGTTGCCCTGCTTACGATCGGGGCCGGAGAACTTGAGGACGCTCTGGACGGTGAAGACGGAGTTGCGGCTCTCGGACTCCTCGGTGGAGATGTCGTAGAAGCCGGAGGCGGCGGTCCCGGGGCCGATCTCGCGACCGTCCTTGAGCCAGCGGATGGAGGGCTTGGGCTTGCCGTGCGCGCCGCACGAGGCGGTGAAGTCCTCGTCGTTCACCCTGCGGAAACAAGAGCGTCGTGTGAGCACGGCGAATGCCAACGGGGGCGCGAGAAACTTACCGACAAAAGTTCACTTACTTCCTAGTGACGTGGGGCTGGAGCTTGGCGAGGAACCTGGGCGGCTGGTGGACCTCGAGGAGCACGGAGGCAGCCTCGCCTTGGCCGATCTCGTTGGAGGCCTGGCAGTGGTAGGTGCCCTCGCTGCCGAGGTGCGCCGACTGGATCGTGTACTTGGGGCCGGTGCCGAGGACGGTGACGGGGCTGCCGCTGCCGGGCTGCTGGTCCAGGGGGTCCCTCCACCAGCGGTACTGGGGCGCGGGCCATCCTGGCGGGTTCGCCGTGCACGACAGGGTGACGCCAGAGCCCTCGGTGGCCACGGGCTTGTCCGGGGAGATGCGCGCCAGCCCGGGCTTGTGGCGCACGAGCAGCGTGAGGCTGGCGTTGCCGATGTGTTCCACTCGACGCCGCGGGGGCGTCGACACGTCCAGCATGTTGACGGCGCGGCAGGTGTAGGTGCCGGCGGACTCGGCCGTGACGCGGGGCAGCGAGAGCACGGGGCCCGACTGGCGGAACTCGGGCCGGCCGTCGCGCACCCACTCGACCACGGAGGGCTTGGGGTTGGCCGACACGTTGCAGTGAACCGTCACCGACTCGAACTCCTCCGCCTCGCGGTGCTTAGAGTCGATCGACACCTGGGGCGGGTACAGCACGTCCAGCGTGAGCTCCGCCTCGCCGGCCTGGCCCAGCCCGTTGTCGGCCGAGCACACGTACTTGCCGGCGTCCTGCACCGACACGCGGTGGATCGTGTGCGTGAACGAGGTGGCGACGAAGCGGCCGTTGCGCGTCCACCGCACGTTGGAGACGCGCGGCTTGGCGTCCACGTTGCACTGCAGGGTGGCGGTGCCGTCGCGCTCCACGCGCACGGGGTTCTCGGGGCCGATCTCGACGCGGGGGAAGTCTGCAAACAGAAGAGAGGGCAGGGTCAAGGCTGGGTACTCACAGGGCACGCTGACGGAATTCACACCTCAATCTGCCCCCCCCCCCTTTCCCCTTCTCATTCTTAAAGAAGAAGAGTGATCGCACTCCATATAGTGACGCTGCTCCCCGCGACCGGTCCAGGACCCCGTCGTACAGCTTCTCAAAAGGAGCACGGGTTCTGCTTCCTCCCCCCC